CACGTTAGCCGATAGTCTGATGTGAGTGACAAAGAAGGCCAAAACTCTTCCACCTTTGGGACTGACTTTTCTGATCAAGTTAGCATTGCTGTGAAAATATATTCCGAAATGAACGTAAAATGAGACATCTGCCGGTAACACTTTCAAGGGAGATAACTCATACAAAATTAAACTGAGTAATGTGCTCTTCCCATAGTTAAGACGATATTCTTATGGCTTTAAATGTAAAAAAAATGATTTTAATTGAAAAGCTTAAAATTTCAGCCTCTCTCCCCTTCGAACGTATGTGCAATTACATCAACGTGAAGTCCTAAATGAAGAAATGCGTAACACGAAATTTCTTATTGGTCACGATCTGACGGCTCAGTTTCAGTCACTTTCCCTCCTCCATAAAGTTACCTCTGTATGCCTTTTCTACTTTCATGGTAATTCGCCGGACGAGTATTGTTACCTAGACTTTATGAATTTAAGCACGGTACTAGAATGGTGACGAGGTCTCATAGATTTACAGATGAGTTGGCTAGATGTAACCGTAAGTTCTATGCTAACGGTTTTTTTTTTTCTCGCACTTCTCGCTTGTGGAACTCTGTGGTTTCCAGCCAACTTTAATCTTCAAAAATGTTAATACAATTTCAATCGTTATCTACTGTGTTCCTGATTACTCTTCTGTTGTTATCGCTCCATTCTAATTCTTCCACACCCAATAACCCATTGTGTCTTAGTGGCTTTCCTGCCTTGCTTGGGGTGAACTCGATTAAAACAAAAACAAAAAAACTTTGATATTAATTTTCCTAAAATAATTTTATGCATTAATTTCATGTCTTAAAGTTTACAAATCAATAACATAATAATTGACTATGACTTTAATATAAAACAATCAAATTTAATTTCCTTTTAATCATATCATCCCAATCAAGGATCGTCCTGGGTATGACGATAAACTACATCCAACAGCAAGGCCTCTGATCAGGAGGTTTTGAGGAGCATGGAACCACCTCTTAATTGCTGGTGTTCCCAGGTCCACCTTGACCCGGGTGGTAGCACCTGTTAGGGTCCCAGCTATGAGCAAATAGTTAACCCCTAAACTGGTGTCAAAACACTATGAAAGTGTAAAAATAGGTTTTAATACCAAAAATACTTTGCAAAAAAGTATTACCAGAAATACATTTTTGGAAAAAAAGATATTACCAACTGTACATTTTTAAAGAAAAAATATTGCCAGGAATAGATTTTTTTTGAAGAAAAAATATTACCAGAAATACATATTTGAAAAAAAAAAATTACAATAGCATTAAATAACCCTTTGAGGTTGATATGCCGTAAAACAAAACAAACCAAACCAAGCAAGACAGTAATGCCAATAGTATGCAGGTTACTGGGAGTAAAAGAGAAAAAGAACGAGAAGACTGAGAATAGAGAGGATTAGGGAAAGGATAAAAATGGAACCCGATTCAAAAAGACAGAAAATTGGCGACTGATGTTGCATTTAAATTTTTGAAGATTGTAGTTACCAGGAAAGTAACAAATCCGAAGGGAGTTCCACAAGTGGGAAGTGCGAGAAAAGACTATTAGAGTAGAAGTGGCAGTTGCATCTAGCTAGTTCAACAGTAAAACGGTGAGACCTAGTTACCAGTCTAGTAGCACGTAGGTGAAGCACCATGGAAAAAAATTCATCGGAACAGTTGCCATGAAAATATTTGTAAAAAAGACAGAGGAAAACCACGTCACGTTGGCAAGAAAGTGACTGAAGTCGAGATGCCAGGTCACATTGCAAAGTCTTCTTTGGATTTTGTCAAGAATCTAGAGATTTTAGTTATGTCTTCGCTCTTTGCTATAAAATCCTTATTGTTCCATATTTCATCTGGTACACCTGTACGCCCAGCCTACATTATAACACGTGATATTATGAAGAAAAAAGCTGTAGCGAGAACATATGTTAGCTCTATTTGTTGCAATTTAATGAACTGTATTTTGCTCATCAGAATTAAGCATGAAGTTATTTTTCTCTTTTTAACTTTTTTTTAATAGTCTCACCCCAAGCAAGAAGGTCATGTCAATAGTATGCAGGTTAAGTGGGGGGTCAAAGAGAATGAAAAGACTGAGAATGAGGAGGATTGAGGAAAGGACAAAAAAGGAATTTTTATTGTAGTTAACAGGGAAGCAAGAAATCGCAAGGGAGTTCCACAGGTGAGAAGTGTGAGAAAATAAACTCTTAGAGGAGAAGTAGCGGTTGCATCCAGCTAGTTCAACAATAAAATGGTGGGTCCTAGTTGCCAATTTAGTAGTACGCTTAAATTCACGCCATTTGGGCACCAGAGAAAAAAGTTCATCAGAGCAGTTGTCATGAAAATATTTGTAAAAAAGACAGAGAGAAACCACGCCTCGCCACGCCTCGTCACGCCACGCCTCGCCACGCTACACCACGCCACGCTACATCACGTCACATCGGTGATAAACTGACTGAAGTCGAGATGCCTGGTTAGGATCGATTACATTACATAAACTTTTTTGTCAAGAATCTCGAGAGGTACAGTGGGAACACCAGACCAGATATGGTAGCAGTATTCAATGCACGGATGAATGGTAGATTTCTAAATGTGCAAGTTAAATTCTGACGGAAAAAAATTTTGTTTATATTTCTGAGATGAGGTATTTTAATTATTTACATTATTTATTGCCTCTTCCGGGTGTCTCAGTTACCTCCTTTTGACTCAACTCTCCAAGTTTTTTTTTCACCACTACCGTAGGCAGGTATTGAACCCACAACACTTTGGGTCAAGTGACTGGATCCAACCAACGCCTTTATCCACTGGGCCATGTGTCATTTTGATTAATAACAATAATAAGGACAACGGTCCGAACAATGTAAATAATGAGAAAATCTTTTGGAACAACACAGCGAACCAACATTCATTGCAGTAGGCGAAACAAATAGATTTGATATAGTCGCTATGCTTCATGTCAGTGAAAAATAGAATGCCAAGAAGTCTGTTGCTCTCCTGGAGTTTAGCATCAGCCATACTGATCGCAAGCAGAAAATGTAAATAAATGAAAGCAGTTTTGTTTTGTGGGCGTTAAAATTTACAAGCCATTTCTTGCCCCAGTTAACCATTGATTGGAGGTCCTTTTCAGTAGCAGCTGTCAGGTTTACTTTGTCAGATCTATCGATTTGCTACTAACTATGATATTTTAGTCAACCTCTACGTAGATGTTATGTCTCTTTCTAGGTGAAAGCCGGCATTGCTACTAACTATGCTTGTGTCATTTGAATAAATATCTAGTTGGAAACCGGTGAAATCGGGAAAGTCATTGATCAAAATCAGAAACAGCGTAGGTCCAAAGACAGAGCCCTGATGAAGCCCCGCCTTAGTATGAAAAGATATAGCAATGAACCCGTTCAGCATGATTTTCACTATACGATTTGTTAGGAAGAATTGGATTAATCCAAATATTCGTCCTGTAACACCGTAGCCCTTGAGCTTACGTAGAAAGCCAATATGCCAAATGTTGTTGAACGCCTTCGAGGTCTAAAGCCACATCCCGTGCTTTGCTATTCTTATCCAGAGCATCATAGACAAAATCAGTGATGGTCGGTGGTAAACGGAAACTATATTGTTTAGCCGAAAGGATGTCGAGCGAAGTAAGATATTTAAACAATTCGGCATACTTTACCAAAAAGAAGTAATAGACTGATAGGGCGATATTTTGAGGGGTCAGAGGGTTCTTCAGATTTCTTAAAAACATGGAAGAGAAAGATTTCCAACAAACTGGAAAGCAAAAAAACAGTTAAACATTTATTATAAAGTTTGGAAAGAACAGGAACCAGCTCAGTAGCCCATTTCTATAAGACAACGGTAAGGATCCCGTCACATCCGCTTGCCTTGTGGGGATCTAATTTAGAAATTATGTCTGAAACCAGTAACGGAGTTATGCGCATATCACTCAGTAGAGTCTCCGTTCTAAAAGGAAAATTTGGCAGAGGTACTCCAGACGAGTCGAGGGTGGAGTTGGAAGAGAACTTCTACGAAAAGCACTCTACCTTATCTTCAGTAAATGTTAGAACGTCAAATTTATTGACGAGAGATGGGACTGGGGTTTTGATATTGTTCAGCACACTCTTACATAGTCGTTGGTAGTCTCTAGAACGAAATTTGTTAGAGGCTATACGTTGTCTCATTCTTTCAGCAAACAGTAACTTCGCTTCTTTGAGGACAAGCTTGCACTCATTACTAGCAATGGCAAAGAGACGTCTGTTACAATCAGACCCATCGCTCTGGTATAGCCGGAAGAAGCGATTCTTGTAGGTTATAGCGGCTATGCAGGCAGATGAGAACCAAGGAGATGATCTTGATTTTACTTGGTATTTTCTTGCTAGAACGAAAGCTTCGATGCCGGCTTTCACCTAGAAAGAGACATAAGTGGTACATCTACGTAGAGGTTGACTAAAAATATCATTTCAAGGGACAGTGTGAAGAAAGTCACGGAACGAGTCCCAATCAGCGTATTGATAACAGAAAGATATTCTGTTAATAGGTCGTTCGTGACTGATGGGAGAGCGGAATATATCTACAGACGCGACTGAATGATGGACAGAGCTACAGAGCATGACATGAGTCAGTGTCGAGGTAAGAAAGGCATCAAATAGAGAAGCATGTCTATCAGGATTACTGGGGATACGCGTAAGTAAGTCTGCTACGTGAATGAGAGATTGAGTGAGAGTGAAGTTCAAGTTCTGAATACCGACGAGGTCAGTGACAGAGTGATTAAGTGGGCATTGAAGTCGCCGAACACAAACGGATGTAGAAAGAGGGCCTTAACTATATTATCAGAAATACTATCTATCACGTAACAGTCATGAGAGGAAGGAGAATGATAGAGGAAGAAATGATAGCTGACTGAGTTTAATAGAGAAAGTCGGAGGCACATGTAAGAACGGTCTGGAGACACGAGAGAGAGAGAGACAGAGAGAGAGAGAGGGGCATTAGATGTACCTTAAAGTATCTAGTGTTCCAAAGCCGTCCCCCATCTAAGTATTGAACAGGCTCAACACAGCTTAACTTTGGTGATCGAACGGGAGCCAATGTTTTCAGCGTGATTTGACTGGAGGCATACTTTTGATAAAGTTTCCTCTGTTGAGTCTCCTTTCAAATATCTTCCTTGTTCTTCAGAAACATAATCATCATCAGTAGTAGTAGTATTTGTAGTAGTAGTAGTAGTACTTTACTGATCCAGTTAAATATGACAGCGTATATAACTTTTTTCATTTTTTATTTTTCAATTACTGTTATTTCATAGAATTATTCTTTTCAATTTTTGACTTCACAAACCTCTTCAAACAGGTTGACATTGAGTTATCTCCCTTGCATTGGACAGCCACTATATACACCCACATATATGGGAGCATAAAGGAAAGCTATATACAATTTTTCATATCAAGAACAATTTTAGGAAAACCTATGACAAAATGTAAGAACAGATACGTTTCACCCTTTAGTACTTCATAGGACTAAAGTTGTGCTTACGTTGATGCACATGTGTAGTTGCATCAATGTAAGTAAACATTACTTTTTAGTCCAATGAAGTCCCGAAGGACAAAATGCGTCACACGAAACATTTTTTCACTGTATCAAAGATTTCTCTAGAATAAGAAAATAGGAAAAAATTCTGTGTGACTCGTTTTGTCGTTTAGGACTTCATCGGATTAAAAAGTAATGTTTTTGCTGATGGATTTATGCGTAAGAAAGGGAAGGCTTTCGACTGTACATTCAGCGATCTTCAGGCATGGAAATTATTTTGTTTTTAGTAAAATTCAGGTAGTATCCGAGACGAAAGAATATAATGAAAATCGAAATATGTTTTTTTTTTTAATGTATTAAAGATAACGGATACAACCTTTTGGAGCGTGCAGTCGCAACGCTAAGGTTGAATTTTTTTTGAAAATGAGAGAGTGCGTTTTTTACTAATATGGCAATTTGAGAATTTTTTGTTGTAGGAGTTTATCAGTCAATGTGGCATGAACTAAATAGTTCAATAAACAGAATAATGTCTCAGTTGTTATCCCGAAAATTTGCACGTCGGATCAGTTCTCTTAAATCAAATATGTGGTGGAGTTCAATTTATATTACAATGAATCATTCATACAAAAAGTAGATTAATAAAGTTAATGATATAATAATTTCCATGTCTGAGGATGACTAAAAGTACAATCGAAAGTACTTGCGTATTAAAGAAAGACCTTATACAGCTTATTAAAGAAAGACCTTATACAGATTATAATTTTTTAAAACAAGGATCATAACATTCATCGAGTGATTTGTAGGTTAATGTACCTTTAAAATCTTGTTAGCGAACGGATTTCGCCATTTTATATCATTAACTTTACTAATCTACTTTTTGTATGAATGATTCATTGTAATATAAATTGAACTGCAGCGCCTATTTGATATATATATATATATATATATATATATATATATATATATATATATATATATATATATATATAAACAAGTTTCGGTTACAATTATGCAGTGACAAGAAACTATGAAAATGTTGGAACGCTGAAATTTTAAACTTTTAAATTTCATTTTTATTTTTCAGGCATGTCTTGGCTTGTAGCCGCGCCAATTTCATTCAGTTTCCTTATTCTTTTGTGTTTGTTTATATAATTTTTTTTTAATTAAGTATCCCACATTGTGATAATAGAAGATCTGCCAAGAGAGGTGAAATGTTGTAAGAACTTGGATGCAAATTTGCTAGTCCGATAAAGTCCTAACACAGAATTTTATCCAATTTGTGTCATTCATTTGTCTAACACGCACGCGCGTGCCCATATATAAGTGAATCTGAGACAGTCTAACTCATGCTTCAACGCAATCCTCAGGGACGAGTTGACGGAATGATTCTCGGAAGTTTTGTCTACGAAACTCTGGAATAATCGGGATGCTGAGGGTAACATCGATCACCTAAGTAACAAAACTTTTACTTGTATTATATATATATATATATGAATGAATGAGTGAAAAGGTGCACTTGTCTAACATTGTTCTGATATATAGCAATTTACACATCATATTCTTCCATATATAAAAACGCAAGCAGCGGTTATATAAAATATAGAAAAATATTAGGAGAAGAAACAAAACTAATCGATTTTGATTTAGGTTGATTATATATCTCGTTATATACATATCTAGAGATCCGCTTCGTGAGCACCGCTTTGTTTCTCATTATTAGTGGTCTTTTTTTGGTTTGCAGCAGTTCTTGTTTCTGATTCACTGGTTAGGACAGAATGTTTGTATTCTGGTCAAGATGACTTTTTATAGGTTGGGCGAAATATGACTTTATGGATTCCGAATATACATCTATTTTTAGAGATGGTAAAAATTTGGTCTCGTTGTTATTATTTGCTTATTTTTATTTTTCTATTTTCTTAGCACTACGTTATTATAACGGATACTTCTTATTTGAAACAGACGTTCCGAGCGTCTCGGATTAAGGAATCGGAGAGCCGAATTCGAATTCCAATCGATGTAATCATTTGACATTTTTAAGAACAAAAGAAAAAGCCTAATACAGTAAAAATAGCAGAGCTGATTTATGTTTTTATTCATTATTGTTTACCCATTATAAGGCAAATTAACTGTAGTGGGATTAATGCCACCAACAAGACGGGTTTACCAATCTGTAAAGGGTTGATGGTAATGCGATTAACCCGCTACTTTACAGATGTAACAAAAACTAGCAAACAATAAGAGAAATAACGATATGAAACAATACTTTGCTTCAACAATATTTTTATATAACCAATAGAAGGTACAAACTTGTATGTTGAGAGTTGTTTAAATTGCTTCAAATTTTTTAGATTGAAGTGTTTATAAAGATATTATATAAAATTAAGATTTGAGAAATTGTGTGCATAAAATTGAGTTTGATAAGGTATTTTTTTGATCGTAGGGAAATTAAAGTATGTTTTTGGTGTTGAATTTTGTAGGGGAATTAAAGTATGTTTTTGGTGTTGAATTTTGTAGGGAAATTAAAGTATGTTTTTGGTGTTGAATTTTGTAGGGAAATTAAAGTATGTTTTTGGTGTTGAATTTTGTAGGGGAATTAAAATATGTTTTTGGTGTTGAATTTTGTAATATTGTACTCGACTTACTTTTAGTTTTCTGTGTATGAAGTTGTCCCTCTTTGATTGAATGTGTCACTTAATGTTTTCTATTGAGTTTATGAAGTTGAGCGAGTGTACTTCGCAAGCCGTGGAAATGTTAAGTAAATTTAACTTTAAAACTGGTAAAATATGTGACATGGATTCGTGTGTCGAGCTGAGAAAATTCGTAGGACTCACTGTCGAAGTCGAATGATGTTTCGTATTTATTGATGTTTCAAGTCACGTGGGAGGCTAAAAAAAATTGGCGCAAATTTGTATCTGCTTAGGACACACACTAAACCGATATTATGCATAGCATACGTAGTTGAGAACGTACGAAATTATGATTTTTTTTTTTTTTTAGTTTTTAGTTACTTTTCGTCTGGAGCCGATTTTAATGGGTTGTTGGGCTACTTGGATTGATTTGACATAAGTTTTGCTCTGAGCCACTTTTAATGGGTTTTTAAACAAATGCAGAAGTCTGATTCTACACAACCACTCAAAGTAGACGATTACTGATTAAGACTGCTGTAAATGTGTATGCGAGAATGAATGAGGAAGAGGCGCACAATATGAGAATATGGAGCAATGGATATTGGTTGACTTGAAGAATTTACGATTCTAGTGGTTGGGAAGCATTTTCTATGGAGTCTTTCTCCTTACTAAAGAAATGCTAAGAGAATGAGGATGATTTGACATTGTGCATTGCATCCTGTCGGCAGATCCACATTTTAAAAAAAATAACCGGAAGAAAAAGCTTAACTGTTGATTGTTGTAAAACTGATTCAGGATATAAATAGGCTTCGGAGCTCGAAAACACGAATCTACGTGCTTCTCGAAGTATAGTATCTGTGCCAGCACCCAACATCCAGTAGACGGCGGTAGCCAACAGTTGTAGCCATTATCAGCAGCGACTCAGTCTCACTATCGTCTGCCCCTCCAGCTCCAGCCAACCATCATCTCCTGCAGCAACGATGTACAATAAACTGCCCTTTTCAGGACAACACTTTCCAGCGACCACAAAACTGTTCTTTTCAGGACAACGCTCTTCACCGATTACAAAATTATCCTTTCAGGAAAATGCTCTTCGGCGATTACAATACTGTCCTTTTCAGGAAAACACTTTATAAACGGCTACCAAAACTGTCCTTCTCTGGACCACGCTCTTCATGAACCCCCAGAGATTTTTTTGCTAGTATATTGTAGCCTTATTTTATTAATGTATTTTCTTTAACAAAAATAACCCTGGAAATATATATTTTTGCTCGAATCTTCGTTTTGTTTGCTGTTGTCTTTCATCATTCAATATTTGTTTGTGAGCCAATATATCACCCGCAGCAGAACTAAGGAATGTAATACATCTGAACATTTTCCATGGTAATAACGGTAGAGTAGTTAGAATCTAGCAAGGTTTCTTCTATTGGAAAATGGTTGCAGGGTATTAAATAATTCATCATCCACAAGGCTATCACTGATCTTGACAAGAAATTAGTATCAGGTTATGCCATTATAAAAGATAGTTACTTAATTGTTTTCATAAATGGAAATGATTAAATATAAATAAGCTATTTCAATTTTCTAATATTGTGTGAACAGTATTAGAAAATTGAATGGGCGTGGAAAGGGAAACTAGCGAGCCAGGTTCAAATTCTACGCATTTTCAGTGTTTCACGCAAATAGTCTTGGAAAAGTTGAAACCCATCTTTTCCCTCCCTAGCTATGTGTTAAATAAATAGACTGGAAGTTCTAACTTTGGTTGACAAATAGTTGTAATAAAGTGAGAGTGTCAATTAAATAATAACAAAAGAAGGATTTTCATTACTTAATTTTTATCAGCATCTGACTTTGTCACTTCCCAATAGTCAGTGTTTTTGTACACAGCCCACAGCACCTATGGTCCAGTACATCATGGACCCTATATTCTGTTTGTGATGTGTGGAAGACGTCTCTTACC